ACATCAGTAATGACAACCACCACAACAAATCAGTAACGACAATGACCACACCAACATCAGTAATGGCAACAACCACCACTAACATCAGTAACAGCAACACCACCAACATCAGTAACAGCAACAACAACCATCTCCAACATCAGTTATGACAACCACCACCACCAACATCAGTAACAACAACCATCAACATCAGTAATGACAACAACCACCACCACCATCAGTAACAGCAACAATCACCACCAACATCAGTAACAGCAACAACCATCAGTAAAGACAACAACCACCTCCAACATCAGTAACAGCAACAACCACCATCAGGTTCAGTAATAGCAACAACCACCACCATCAGTAACAGCAGCAACCATCAGTAGCAGCAACACCCACTACCATCAGTAACAGCAACAACTACCAGTAAAGACAACAACTACCTCCGACATCAGTAACAGCAACAACCACCACCAACATCAATCAGTAACAGCAACAACCACCACCAACATCAGTCAGTAACAGCAACAACCACCATCAAGATCAGTAACAACAACAACCACCACCAACATCAGTCAGTAACAGCAACAACCACCACCAACATCAATCAGTAACAGCAACAACCACCATCAAGATCAGTAACAGCAACAACCACCACCAACATCAGTCAGTAACAGCAACAACCACCACCAACATCAGTCAGTAACAGCAACAACCACCACCAACATCAGTCAGTAACAGCAACAACCACCACCAACATCAGTCAGTAACAGCAACAACCACCACCAACATCAGTCAGTAACAGCAACAACCACCACCAACATCAGTCAGTAACAGCAATAACCACCATCAACATCAGTAATGACAACAACCACCACCACAAACTGATCCACCCATTAACCAAATGAGTGCAGGTGGCAAGACTACAATGCCATGCCCACTGTAATAAAAGTTTTATATATTGTCTTTACACATAGATGGCTCTACAAGTATTTAGTCAACAGCTCTTAGCTATCTCATCTGTTACCTTTTTCTTTCATATTTTGAAAGATTCACTTCTAGTTTTATTTTCTTTGATGTTATTAATATTTTAATAACAATTTAATATTCATAATATCAATAAGAATGATAACAATATCAATATTAGTAGTATTGGAAAGAAAAAAATAATTTTCCCACCAATGCAAGGAATGGGGAAATCAGGATTGGTCAGTAGGACCAACTGATAGATTCATTGCTGCTGAGCACATGTGGATCCAACAGTATGTAATAAAACTCACTAAAATCTAAAGGGGACAGTAAATAAACCTGCTGACATTGGGTTAAACCCTTTCATCACTGAAATACCATTAGCATCCTAAGCACCCTATCCCTTCTGACACTACTATCCTTTCCACCACCCTCTACTGCCAATGCCTCCTGCCATGACCATTATCACTACTGCTTCTGCTGTCAGTATCACCATCACTAACACTACTTTCAATACTGCCACCATTCATCATCATTTGGGAGCTAATGCTGGCGGGGGCTGTATAGCCTGAGTTGGTGATCGTGGATTTTGCAAGTAACTGTGATTCAAGATGAGATTCCAAAGCACAAGATAGTGTCCAGCCTTCACTACCATATAGTAAAACTGGCAGTATCAGGGCTTTGAAGACATGTAGTTCGGTCCTTCTGCACAGGTACTGGCATCTCCAAATACTCTTGTCAAGAGATTTCATGACCCCTGCTGCCAGGCCAATCCGTCTACTGACTTCCTGGTCTGACAGCCCAGAGTCATGAACTGCACTACCGAGGTATATAAAGCTCTCTGTGACCTCAATGTTTTCACCGCAAGCATGTACCGACTACACAGGGTCTCCTAGTAGGATCTTGGTCTTGGGCCAGGAGACCTCTAGCCCCAGGGGCTTTGCTTCATTGCTAAATGCATCAAGAGCCACCACTAAGGTTTCCAGAGATTCAGATAGAATAGCAACATCTTCAGCAAAATCAAGGTCTGTAACCTTGATAATGCCCAGAGTTGCTCCACAGTGACTTTGGACAGTAGCTCTCCCCAGTATCCAATCCATGCAAGTGTTGAAAAGTGTTGGTGCAAGAACACAGCCTTGCCTCACACCTGAACTAACAGGGAAAAAGCTTGACAGGCCCCCACCACACTTTAAAGCACTTTCAGTGCCTGTATACAGGCTTGCTATTAATCCACCAATCCTTGTTGGAATTCCTCTTAGTCTCAGGATCTCCCAGAGTGATTCGCGATGCACGGTATCAAATTCCTTCTTGAGGTCAATGTAAGCTGCGAACAGCCTATGTCCGAACTCATGATGACGCTCTATAATGACTCGAAGCGCCAGGGTGCGGTCTATTGTGGGCTTACTAGGAGTGAATCCAGATTGCTCCAGCCTCTGGTACCTTAGCAGGTAATCTCTGATATGTTTCAGTAGGATGTGCGTGAGAACTTTGTCTAGTACACTGAGTAGTGTAATGCCTTTGTGATTGCTGCAGTCCCATCGATCCCCTTTCCCCTTCCAGAGAGGGATGACCACACCCTTCAGCAGTCCTGTCTGCCAGATGGCAGACAGGACTGCATGCAAGCCCCTTGCCGTAGATTCACCACCAGCCTTTAACAATTCAGCTGGGATCCCTAACTTCAGTCAGGGAGGGTGGATCCTCGCTGATGGGTGGATCTGGCAGTGGAATCTCAACATTTCCTGCATCCAAGTTAACTGTCAGTGGATCAACCTGATATAACTGCTCAAAATACTCAGCCCAATGCACATGCACCCCATCAGGATCTGAGATTATCTGGCCACTTGCTGAGCAGACTGTAGTCGTCTGTGAGGAGGGCTTTCTCAGGGCTTGGTAGGCAGGATGAAGGTCATTTACTAGGAAATGGCTTTTGACCTCCTCTGCAAGATTCCTGATAAACTGTTCCTTATCCGTTCTCAACTGTGACCTAGTCCTGCACAACAGAGAACGGTGCAAGTTCTAATCCCCTGACAATCGAGCAGCACAACAAGCATCTGTGGCTTCCATTGTCTCCTGCGAGATGGAATTCTGTCTTGCTCTTGGGCGTTCACCAATCGATTCTTGGGCTACATCAAGCGTTTCACACTTGAAGGTGTTCCACAGAAGAAAAGGGTCTGACAGGCCCTTGAGTGCTGTGAAACAACCAGAGATAGCCTCCTGAATCTGAAACACCCTAGGGTGTTCATTGGGACAACAGGGGGTTCTAGAGTGGACCCAGAGAATAGTCATAACTAATCTATGATCAGTTGCACAGAACTCGGTGCTTTGATACACCCTGTAGTTCTGAAGGATCCTCCATCGAGTGCTAATGAGGATGTAGTCGATCTCCTTGGTCGCACTACCCGTATCGCTGTACCAAGTCCAACAATGCGGGTCAGAATGCTGATACCAGGAGCCAGAAATCCTCAATTTCTGGGATCTAGCAAGTCATGGAAAAGGAGGCTATTCTTGCTGTCAGCATCAGCTCCTGAGCCATGCGGACCAACAGACATCTTGTAGCCAGCTTGATCGCAGCTGGATACCACTGATACCAGGAGCCAGAAATCCTCAATTTCTGGGATCTAGCAAGTCATGGAAAAGGAGGCTATTCTTGCTGTCAGCATCAGCTCCTGAGCCAGGAGGACAGACAGACAGCTTGTAGCCAGCTTGATTGCAGCTGGATACCACATTGAAGTCACCCAGAACAATACGAATACCTTGCTGAGGACAGTTGTCTGTCACAGATACAAGTTTGGCGTAAAACATCTCTTTCACCTCAAGTTTATATACATCCGTAGGAGCGTACACAGCAATAAGAGACATGAAGCCAAATGAAAGCTTCAGTCTGAATACCATAATACGCTCATCGACTGGAGTGACCTCTACTACTGAGGGTTGAAGTCTGCTGGAGATGGCTATGGCTACTCCCTGGAGATGGTGGCCATCGCTGCAGCCCGACCAGTAATAAGTGTAACCACCCACACTAATCGTGCTGCTGCCAGATCTTCTCACCTCCGAGAGAGCAGCCACCTCAACTCTCAGCTGCTTCAGTTCCCTCGACAGTAGTGGTAACTGCCACCGTTACTGCTACCATTACCACTACTACCATCATTGCAGCCACTATTAACACTAAAATTACTGCCACCATTACCACTACCATTACTGCCACCATTACCATTACCATTACTGCCACCATTACCACTATCATTACTGCCACCATAACAACCACTACTGTTACTGCCACTATTACCACTACTACCATCATTGCACCCATTATTAGCCCATTGCCGCCGGGGATGGCATGTATGTACATGCCATGCCCACTGTGAGTCGACTTGTTCGATTGTTTTTACACATAGATGGCTACACTTGTATTAAGTCACCAATGAGCCAATTAGAGTACTGCCTTTCTCGCCCGTTCACCCTTTTCATCGATTTACGAAAATATTTAACGTTATCCTAATTTCCGGTTAAAAATAACACCATCTATATTTATAGCACTAGTAAGAATACGTTTTTTCCCGCCAATCCAAGGAAAGGTGAAATCAGGACTAGCAGAGCCATTATATTTCACAAAAATATAAAAAATGAGTACTGCATTTTCCCCATTTTTTGCTCATTTTCCCCGGCGGCAATGGGTTAACACTAAAATTACTGCCACCATTACCACTACCATTACAGCCACCGTCACCACTACCATTACTGCCACCATAACAACCACTACTGTTACTGCCATCAATACCACTACTACTACTATTACCACCATTACCACCATCACTGCCATAGTAGTTCTTTACATACTACTTGTCAGTCTTCTAGAGCTTAAGTTAACTTTTTGATTGTTTATTGGTTTGTTGTAATTCTTGATCCAGAAAGAGCTATTTTTTAGAATTAAGTACATATTAGGTTTATGTGAAAGTGTTGGAATTATTTTAACAGTGGTGAATTTGAAATGAGTGCCAGAGACCTTTCTTTATGGTGCAGGTGAGATGATTCATCATATTTTCCAGGAACTTTTATAGTTTTGGCAGATGGATCAGTAGAGTTAGTCAGCATCCAGTCACAAGTAGTTTTCGACGAACCATGGCTACAGCAGGAGAAGGGTCAGCAAGTGATAGCACAGGGAAGCTTAACAGACTTGCATCTGAGAAGAGTCCATATCTATTGCAGCATGCTAGCAATCCTGTTGACTGGTAAGCATAAGATGGGTTTGTACAAAATTCCTAGTGTGTGCCAAATACTGGCAAGCATGGTGTCAGAAACCTAGTTTTATTTCTTGAGATAATAGAAGCTACTGTTTTTTGCCTTTGCATATATTTAACATTGTGTTGAACCATGTTGATAAAATATTGTGAGACAGCTTGAGATTGAAAGTTATTGAATTTTAGTAAAGGCTTTGATGTATGAAATTTCAATATGCAACTTTTTCAAGGGTACTCTTAAGATATTTATAAATGAAACCAGATATCAAGCTCTATTTTGCCTTAGAACATACAGAAGATGAGCTGTCATATTGACTATTTATGAAATTATCGTTAAACAAACTCGGTCAGAAAAGTTAATTGTCCATGACAGATAGTTTCTTAATTGTTTCAGCATTATCACTCTAAACATTATATGATATCTATGAAATTATTTAAACTTCCAGTCCATATATCAGCCTCAGTGATTCAAATTATCTCCACTTAGAGTATCAATTTATAGATATATTTTCTTCTTTGAAGTTAAACTCATAAGAACCGAGTATCTCACTTTCTGCCCAAAATTCAGTTATAAGTGGTTTTCCTTGCACAGACTACATATCTCTCTAGATTGTGTATAACTGTGCTATTATGATAAGTGACATTTAGTTATTTGAGTCATTTTTAAATTTTTTTCCTAAAATTCAATTTTCTATAATACTTTCTGCATTGCTGGTCATGGTGAGCTGGAAATAGTGTCTTCCCTGGAGCCAGCACTCTACCAGTCATGGCTCATGGATTGTATATTTCGTACTTATTAAATGATAGAAATAATGCAAGAGCCTTCCTAAATGCCCACCAACAACTTTGTGCACTCATAGCAAATCATACCCATCACCCTGGCCTTCAGCCAAAATTCTCATGAAGGCATAGTCCCATCAAACTGGCCATCAGCATTTTCAGTTGACCTGGCTCCCAGCTTGATTTTTTCATTTTTTCATAATCCAAGGGATTAAACCCAATGACAGCAATTTTGCAGCATTGCCTTGCTAACTATTTATATACAAGAAAGTTTGTCTTACTGATATGTAACAGATATTGAGCAGTGGAGCATCAAAGTTACTTTTATAATGTTATAAATGTTCTATTTTAAGGCCCCCCCTAATCCCTTGCTCATTGTTGTTGTGGTGGGGGCTTGGGGGATGGAAACTGGGGCCCAGTGTAGGAGATCACCCCTACCTAGGACCTCAGCCTTCGCCTCAACTCATTTTTCTTTTCCTTTCCTTTTCCTTCTCGTCTTCATCCCCTTCTCCTGTCCACTTCCAAGTGTGAGAGCTGAGCTAAAAGGATGAAAATCTGGCTTTGTGTCAGTCATTGAATGGCCTCTAGCAGCCATGGGTATGGTATTCCCTTGGTTAATTGTCTAGCCCTTACCCCTCATGGGAACCCTGAGGGGTCTCCATGAGGAGTAATAATGAAAA